GTGTCGCGATTCCACCAGTCGTCGTTCGAAGATCATAAAGATCCCCGTTGAAACATGGATGAAAAACGACTCGAAAACGAGACTCGACCAACGATTCGATAAATCTTGCGCGTAAATGTATACGCGTTCGAGGAAGAGGAACCGTGTAACTGTACCAGCCTTTTATTACCTCGGTATTAATGTATCTTCGCCTCTTTCAACCCGTCATTTACCTTACCAGTCGCTTTAAACCACCTGTACGCGTAGTTGTTACGAGCGAGATCCGACTACCACGCGTTTATTCGGCCGAATTCGAGAGGAAAGGATTTGTTCGTGGAACGATCGAATCGAATGATCCTCAAACCCCGATAACGGCAAATTCGGTGAATCGTCCCTCCATCAATACTGATCAGTTTATCTACGCGCTTTTAAACACGATTCAGATACGACGCGATTTCTAGACTCGGTTAAGGGACGCCTAGATCGATTCGATAGCAAATATTAACTTATCCTCGAATATTATATGTATAATATGTTTAACAATGTCTTTCCTTCTTGCTGAATCCCCCCGTTTATTTTCGATAATCTTTCTTCGCCAACTTTTTCTTTTTCCCTCCCCACAGTCCGTTGAAAGAGACATTATGACGGAGGGATTAACCTTGAATAATTATAACTCGACACGTCGACTATAATCAGAGCTCGGGAAGAGCGTTAAGATCCTCCAGTGTCTGTCACCCGTTGCCACTTGACGTTGCCGTTGAAATAATCTCTCCTCTTTTTAGCCGCTAGTCTCGGCCATTCGTTCAACAAGTCCATCCATATGTCATCTCGCGAGAAACAAATCATAGCTGTTGTCGGGCCATCGAAAAGGCAAAGCCACTTGTTCGAGCGAGCCGTCCTCTGGCATCCTCGCTTTGACCGAATCGCATGCATAACTAAGTCCTTGCTTCGATCGGCTATTTATTTAGACACCGGCTCGAAACTCGATGGCGCCAGAATATTTGCGATATTGCAGAGACCGGCTCCGAGAGTGGGCGGTTCAGGTGAAATGTTTATGCGTTTCGCGAAAGCTGCATACTCTTCCTCTTCAGGTGGGCAACTCGAAAATGCCTGCGAAAATGTTCCGTGAAAGGCCAATTTATATACGCGTGTGTTAGCGTTCCTACTATTCGGCTGCAATTTCGAGAACGGCCATGGAAGGCGGGAACCAGTGATAAATTCGTTTACTTTCGCGTACAAAGGAAAGTAAAGTGCACGAGGGAAACTTGGAATTGTATTGTTCATTCGATAGCCATTCGAATTCCAACGATCACTCGAAAATAATCATGGTGGAAATTGCGAGAATTTCAATGACCCCGGCGCACAAAGGATCCAAGATAAACTACGTCTCCTAGGACAGTTTGTATTTTGCCCTCTCCAGGTTTTCTCTGGTAAAATTGCATTTTACCTCGACGAAGGTACTAGGACGATCGAAACGATCCTCTTCCAATTCATACTGGGACGATTCGTTATTTATTGGACGAGCAACAAGTTTCTAGAGAATGGAATGGTTCGTTTCATTTTCATACAGCATCGAAAGCAACTTATCATTCCAGTGTTATAACGTCGAAACGTGAACACGAACCGGTCGATGACTTGTCAAGCTTTGCGAAAAACAAGAAACTACTGTGCACGACTCGTAATTATTCCGTTCTATTCGAACGCATCGATCTGTCAGACAGCTGCTCACGCGAACTGTTTTCGTCTAATCCGTCTATTCCTTTCCTACTACCCCGAAGGCATAATTAAAGTCTCGTAGATCATGCGTAAACGTGCCCTGATTTGTATGTAATAATGATGCTAATGGACGCGTTTGTCGGGATAATTGCACGAGCATAATTGGAAACGAGCGTTCGATCAAGCGACAAAAACGTATATGAGATATTGGTCCTTAGCATTCGAATGGATTTATTAAAGTTATATAAGTGTCAATGTCGTCACCGTCTTCTTGACGTCTTATTTTAACGATGCGATTAACGTTTCGAGAGAAGCTGCGCTAATTGACAAAAGGTTAAACTTGAAAAAGTTATTTTTTTTAATAACTTCGTCGAATTTTGAATACGAGAATGTCGTTTTTCCACGTTAAGAAAAAATATCCTCTCGAGAACATTTCAGCAATTACAACAATGATCTTCTTCTCCCCCGTCGGTCATGAATAAAACCGCGCATTCGCAGAAATTTCCTCCTAATTTTTCTATTCAGAATTCTATTCAGAATGGAACGGAGTTCATATTATACAACGAGTTGTACCGAATTTATTATAAAAACCGAATGTTCCATTGACGTTTATCAAAACTTCTTCTTTCCACCTTCGAAAAGAAACATTCTTGCTTTTATCATTAACCACGGGAGTGCAAGAACCACGTTGGGCTGATAGTACGTTAAAAGGTAGCACGAGAGATAAGCACGAGGAAGGTTAGATACGGGAATGTGTGTCGAGTAGTCTGCGACACTTTCAAATCCGTGTAACAGAGGAAGCAACCCGAGAAGGTTGCCGTGTGGGTCATACATAATGCAGGGACAAAGTAGAGATGAACGGGCATGTTAAATTCGCAATGCAAATTTCACGCGAAAACTTCCGATCGGTCGTCCCCATTGCGACGAATTCCTGTTTTTCATCAATAATTTACCTCCTCTTACTCTTTCTTTCTTTCCCTCTTTCTCTCTTTCTTTTTCCATCTCATCGACGAGCGTGCGAACTTCCATCGAGGGTATCTGGCGTCTTCATCTTCCGGTTCGTTCCGCTTTCTTTCAATAAGAATAGAATACATTTCGAGAGAAGATGAGAATGAATATACGTTTATACTCAGAAACTCGTGATGCAGTGTCGAATACTGATGCCGCTTTTCATTCTTGATCCCGCCTGAACCGATACCAATATTTTTGTGCACGATTCCTTTTCTTTATCTTCTCTCTTTTTTTTTTTTTTTTTTTTCTATATTTATTAACTATTCTATCGACAGTGCACGGAGTACACGTAAGACCTCTCGTCTTGTCGTCATCGAATCGATTCATTCATTCATCCTTACCCTAATCGAAACATCCCCCTTGCTCGGACCCAGGTAACAAGTAACACCGCTGGCTCACGTGCTCAACCCACGTTAGACGAATATCATTTACCAATAGATAGATCGGGTTACCGGCGGACCACCAACGGATAGAGAGCAAGAGTTACTTTACGCTGAATTAGGTCACCTGTTCCTCCGGTCTCCGCAGACAGGAAGTCGTTGAAGTTCGTCGATCACGCGGTGGTACACCCTCTCTTGGTTCCTAACGCCTCGTTGCGAGCCATTTTTTAACGAGTTGCTTCGTTGCACAGGAGGAAAAGAAAACGAAAGTACGTAAGTAACTCGTTCCAACTCGTAATTCATCTGATTATTTATGCAAAGGGATGTCAGTGTGAAACTGTGCGGATTGATTAAAACAAAACGATTGCACGAAAGCGTAACGTAGAGAAAAAGAAGAGGAGACCTCTATCCGCCTTGTTTCCTCCGAGTCGTTAGCGGACTGTCTCCTCAACGATTAGGTCATCTTCACCCTTGCGGCATTTTCATCCTCGACGACAAAGCCACGGCATATCCCGGATGCGATGATTATAGTTAAGAATCGCCGAGTCTTACCGGCCCCTTACTCTCGCCAATCTGTTCGTCCATCTCTTTCCTTCTTTCCCTCGTATATTAGCCGTTTCTCTCTTTCCTGTCTTCGAGACAGGACAACCACGTGCGCCCTGTCAGGGCCCACGCGACACCCATTATGGGCAATCGGCCCTTCAAATGCGCTATAATCGGCCGGGGCGATTCTTCAATCTCGCCCTGGAATGCGTCTTCAGTAAGTGGTCACGCTTGCCGGAATTATAATATTATCTAGTTGGAGCGCAACCGGACAAGAAGAATCATCAAACTCGTTATGCAACAATGTATACATTCCCGCGATGCGATCATTGAAAATTCTTTTTTACTTTTGAGGCGGATAGATTGAATAGATGATCACGACATTGATACAAATTTACGTACACATTATGGATACAAGCATTGATTTTATATTTCTCTCTACATATATGATTACTTGTATATAAATTAAACTAATATCAGTCCTCCGAACGAAACATAATTATCTTTACAAAAGTGTTTTATCTTTACTCATACTCGGATAGAATACATTTTTTTCGTACGGTATAAAATTACTTTCCTGTTTTACACACTTATGAAATATTACAGTACTTACGGCTTACACTGTGTATATATCACACAACACGTTATTAATATATTACAAACGTTCAAAAGAATCATTTCACAAGAACGAGAAATCTTGAGACCGCATTTGTCTCTATAATAAAAAATTCCATGACAAAAATTATTAAAAACTTACTTATTAATTACAAGTATTAATTACAAGTGATTAATTTTACTATCGTATATCATTATAGAAATTTAACAAATAGATAATGTCATGTATATTCGAAGAAGAATTAATTTTATAGAAATATTAAATAAATCCGATATAATACCTTTCAAAGTCATGTCGTCTAATCTAATAATTTATATAGGGAAAAAGAATATTAATTTTCCCCAGCACCATAGCACACAATTCATTACTAAACATAGAATTTTAAAAATTTCATTTCATTATAAAATAAGTAATATAAGCATTCACCATTTGAACTAAATATTATTGCATACCATTTATATGTAATAAATAAATTCATTATATGTGTGTTGAATTTAACAAAGTTATCATCCTAATGAAGCTGAAATAAATATCGATTTCATAAATACAAAATATCAATTTTGTTACGAAAATTTTTTCTTTAAATATCATTTCTTTTTTTTATTTTTTTTTTTATTTTAAATTAAAAAAGAGAATACGTGTACCTGTTAATATTCTAAATTATATAAAATTTTCAATTTGGACGGGGAATCTCTTGGCACATAATGGTCCATAGCATAATGGCACTTTCCGAAACCACTTTGTTAAAAGTGGATAAAAATTAATTGTATTGATATTTTGTTTGTTAAAGTTGTTCTACTATATCGTGATCGTTTTTGTAAGAATATTGTTTAAAACTACTTTTCTGAGAATGCTTTGTTCTTTGTAATTCCTTAGCGAAATACATTATCGTTTTCTTAAGTCCTTCTGCTAAAGGAACTTTTGGTTCCCAATTTAAATATTTTTTAGCTCTAGTGATATCTGGTCTTCTTCGCTGTGGATCATCTTCGACCGCGGCAAGTTCAACTATTTTACTATTAGTACCAACTAAATCTTTTATTATAAGAGCGAATTCTGCAATCAATTATAAATTATGCTTTTTTTTTCAAACCATTATATCAATTACTCTAAAAATATTTAATAACATCATATTTACCTTCTATTGTATGTTCCACAGGATTTCCAATATTTATTGGTTGAGTATAATTAGATGCCATTAAAGCAACTAACCCGTCGACTAAATCAGATACATATTGAAACGATCTCGTTTGTTTTCCACTACCATATATCGTGATCGAATCATTCTGTAATGCTTGTAGAATAAAGTTTGAAACTACACGACCATCATTCATATGCATTCTTGGCCCGAATGTATTAAAAATTCGTGCAACGCGTACTGAAACGCCCTCTTGTCTCATATATGCATAGCTTAATGTTTCAGCTACACGTTTTCCTTCGTCGTAACAAGCTCTTGGCCCTACGAAAATTATATTATCAATTATTTTCATTACAATTAATAAAAATTACAATCATTTCTATGTACCTATAGGATTCACATGACCCCAATAAGTTTCTGATTGAGGATGTTCATTAGGATCTCCATAAACTTCAGATGTACTGGCTATTAAAACTCTTGCTCCCACTCTTTTCGCAAGACCTGATATAAATCAAATAATTATATTTAATATTATTATAATAAAATATGAATTAATTATTTAAATGAACTGACTATTTAAATGGATTTTTTTAACTTTAAGTAGATATAATATATACATACCTAAAATATTTATTGTACCTAATGTATTTGTTTTTATTGTTTTAACTGGATTAAGCATATAATGTGGCGGACTAGCTGGGCTAGCAAGATGATATATTTCGTCAACTTCTAAATAAAGAGGTCTAACAATGTCATGATGAACAAGCTCAAAATTCTCATGGCCAACCCAATGTTCAACATTACGTTTTCTTCCAGTAAAAAAATTATCTACGACTATCACTTCATGGCCAGCAAGCATTAAACGATCAACCAAATGTGATCCAACAAAGCCAGCTCCACCTGTGACTAATATTCTTTTCCGGTTTTTATAATTAAGAAATTTGACTGTTGGGAAATCTTTTGATACTTTGTTTTCGATCTTAGCTTCAAGATGTTGTAATTTGCCCTCTAATTCACGAATTCGTATTTTTGCTTCTTCAATATCTTTAATATCAGTATAACGTATATTTTCATCAACTGCCTCTTGAACTTTTTCATTAACACTTTCAATTTCATTTACATCTCCTAGATGAGATTTACGATCTCGTGGGTGAACTCGGGTAAAAGATTGTTCATCTTCTGGATTTACTAATGTTTTATAAAATCCTAACACTGTCACATATGGAAAACATACGATATTATCAATGATAAGTAATGATTGATAAAAAAAAAATTGAGAAACCAATACGATTTTAAATATTTACCTAATATTATACAAATCACAGAAAAGGCAACCTGTTTCATCTTTCGTGGCGTGACAACCATGCTTTAACATTGTACATGTCACTAAAGATATTTATATTATTTTTCTAATCAACTTTGTATCACACATTAACATCATAATATTGTACGTAAAACGAAATATTCAACCACTATCATTTTCTGTTTTGTATAATTAGAAAAGATAACCTCTTACGTCATCACTATATGTTAATTTTGTAAAATTGTTAATATTTAATTGTTTCATTTAATTATTGATAATATAAGTATTGCTATCAGAGTTCTCTAATATAAACTTTTCACAAATTTTATTTTTTTTTATTATTCAAATAAAATCAGACTTAACATTTAACGAGACTTTACGTTCCATGGTCTAAAATACCGATCGCGCAAAGACTTAGAATATTTAGTATGCCCTCTATAATTTACAGAAGTAAATAATTCATCCTATCTTCTTGTTTAAAAATCATAATAGAATATATAAATATAGATTTTATTATATTTAGTTATATTTTTATATGATATTACAATATATTGTACAATATATATATATATATATTTATATTATATATATTATAATAATAAATATATATATTTTATATATATGAATTTCATTTAAAAGAAAAAAAATTAATTACAAAATTTCATCTAAAAATTTTTATATATATTTTATTGTATATAAATTAAATAAATTAATAAATATATAAAAATAACTGCTTCTTCTTTTCTTTATTATTATCTCTTTTCTTTATATATATCTCTATATTTTTCATATATTCTATATTTCTTGCTTACTAAAATGATTTTTAAATTATAATATAATACGTTTTTTTCTTTCTTAATTTTAACCTAATTATTGATAAAATACATTTTGTCGATAAGTAAGATACCCATCAAAAAGTTTTCGACGCCAACGCCATCTCGCGTTTGGATTCACGAAGCTCCAACTCGTTACTAGCATAACATGATATGCAAGGAGGTATGCGAAGTCATAGACAAGGAACGCAATATTGTGCGAGAAGGACAGAGAATATTTAAAAATACGCAATATGGAAAAATCATTAATTACTCGTTTTTTACTGAAAATTTCTGCACTTTTAAGCATGCATCTT